AGTTCCGGCTGAGCAGCAGTGGAGTCCAGAGTGTCCTCCAGCTCAGTCTTCAGGGCCTCCAGTTCTTCTCCCAGGTCCCTGCGGTGTTTCTCGGCCTTGGCGCGAGCCTGCTTCTCCAGCTCCAAGTCCTCCTGCAATTCAGAGAGCTGAGCCTCCAACTCACGGATCTTCTTTTGCGCCAGGTTCTTCTGTGCTGCCTCCTCCTCGATCCTTGAGGACGAGAAGGTCAACAAAAGCGAAAACTAATGGACTGTGTGCAATGGCAAACACTTATCCTTCAGATGAACCTCTGAGCTACTCCAACAGTGAGCTGCAGAGTTTGCACACACCTGGCTAAAGCTGCCTGGAGCTCTTCCTCCTTCTTGGCTAGCTGGGCACGGAGCTCAGCGATCAGGGCCTGCAGCTCAGAAATCTGGTCGTGGGTCTCAGTAAAGTCGCCCTCCAGCTTGCGCCGGTTCTTTTCCAGCTCCTGACGCTGCTTCTCCTCCCTGCGCAGGCGGTCTGACAAAAAAGGACAAATACATTAAAGGCAGGAAGAAAACAGCGAAGCTTGGAAACTGTGATAACACCTTGTTCTGTTTAGGCCCAGTGGAATCTAAAACAGCCACCGTGCAGGTGACTGTGCTGTCCCTATGATACTCTCTTCCTACCCTCCAGGTCTGTGATCATGGCCTCATGTTTGTTCTTTAGTTTCTGCAGGCTCTTTGACTTCTCCTCCTCCTCTGCCAGGTTGGTGGTGAACTCGGAGATCCTCTCCTCCAGCAACTTCTTCTCCTGTATTCAGAGACATTTAACAGTAAGTAACCCAGAGACAGTACACGTTGGTTTGGTATTTTGAGTCAATTAGCTGAAAGATTCAAGTGCATCAGCAGCAAGAGGCTCCAGTGCAGAAAAACCTGATGCACTTCATCCTAACCTTGTTTAGTTTGTTGTTCTGATCATCAAGAACCACTGAGTCCATTAGCTGAAAGATTCAAGCACATCAGCAGCAAGAGGCTCCAGTGCAGAAAAACCTGATGCACTTCATCCTAACCTTGTTTAGTTTGTTGTTCTGATCATCAAGAACCATAACATGCTCTTCTATCTTCTTCAACTTGGCCTCCTGGGTGACCTTCTCCAGCTGCAGCTTCTGTCTGGCTGCCTCCTCCTCATCCAGCTGCTGCTCCAAGGC